CAGAGAAAAGCGCCAGTCTGGACGCGATCCTCCGGAAAATAAGCTCTTTTCCGGAGGATCTCTTATTCCTACTTTCAGGTATTCCAAAGTGCTACATTTGCATCCCTATTACGGAATAGGGGCCAATGTAGAAACAGCCATAGTATTTTTTCCCCGAAAGAACACAATTGTAGTGTGGATAAGTGAAGTTTTTTTCGGAAAAGAGCTGTTTTTCCGAAAAAAACCTCTGCGGTATAGACATAATCTGAGACTGCCTGAAGAGCCCTGACAGGATATAAGAGAATCCCAAACCACTGAGGTAAGAAGGAAACATTCCCTGGGAGACAGTTATGTAATTTCTGCCATTTTCAGGGATTCTTATACCTTTCCCTGCAGCATCTAGAATTGTCCGCTTCATAGAGGACAATGGAGATTGTAGGTCTGATCCAGTCTGGCAGTAGTATAACTCCAAGACTATATTTTTGCAGCTCTTCCATGACCTCCTGGGAAGCTCTAGATCTACACTGGGAGGAAAAGAGGCCTACTTCAATATCATTTACTCTCCTATTCTTTTTCTTGTCAGGAAGGAAAGTTCAAAACTCTTCAGACCTGCCAAGCACATTATGTCAGCTACCAATGACACCAAATTTAACCGCACAGTGTTCCTTCTCACCGGGATACCTGGGCAGGAAGACGTCCATCTCTGGATCGCTATCCCCTTCTGCTTCATGTATGTTGTTTCACTAGTAGCAAATTCAATCATCCTCTTCATTATTAAAACAGATCCAACCCTCCATGAGCCCATGTACATTTTCCTTTCCATGTTGGCCAGCACAGACCTTGGCTTATTGATATCCACCATACCGACAATACTAGGCGTATACTTGTTTAACTTTAGGGAAATCAGCCCCAATGCCTGTTTTACTCAGGTGTTCTTCATCCACACACTTCAATGCACTGAGTCGGCTGTGCTCTTGTTGATGGCTTTTGACCGCTATGTTGCCATCTGTAATCCCCTCAGATATACGTCCATTTTAGCACACCCGAGAATAGCCAAAATGGGGCTGGTGTTTGTGCTAAGATCGGCGGCCCTAATATTCCCCCTCCCCTTTCTCTTGAAACGGTACCACTATTGTCGAGCCAATGTGCTCTCCCACTCCTACTGCCTGCATCAAGACGTCATGACGATGGCTTGTGCGGACATCACCGTGAACAACATCTATGGCTTATCTGTTGCATTCTCAACGATGGGGCTGGACTCGCTGCTCATCTTCCTCTCTTACGTGATGATCCTCAAAACGGTGCTGAGCATCACATCCCACACAAAGTGCCTCAGAGCCCTGAACACCTGCGTCTCCCATCTGTGTGCTGTGCTGCTCTTCTACATACCAGAGATTGGACTGGCTCTGCTACACAGATTTGGGAGCAGCTCTTCTCACTTGCTTCAGGTTGTCCTGGGCTATGTCTACCGGCTGGTGCCCCCTCTGGTCCATCCAATTGTGTACAGCATGAAAAGCGAACATCTTCGTGGGAGGATAATCAGGGTGTTTGTCAAGTGAAGGCTCAGTTCATCACCCAGCCCCATTGCTGATGACATGGGAGACAAAATCTAGGACTACAGCCACTTAATCCCTCTTGGATCATGTACCCTGAGGTCCTTTCCTCTGCCCCATGTCTTCCTACAAAGCTATCCGGCCTCCTCCTTCTGTTTATCCATAGCTCCATGTCCCAAGCAGGGGTGAGGAACCTAAAGACTGGGGGCTGGATGCGGTCCCAAGTTTGCATGGATCCAGCCCCCAAGGCTCAGAGCTCCCTCCCCAAAGCATTGGAGGGGCCTTGCTAGCATTCCAGCTCCCCTGCTGCCCCACTATGGGGCTGTAGCACAGAAAAATCTACTAGCCTGAGTCCCCCTGAGTTCTGGTGTGTGAGGGGAATGTGGGGAGAATCCTTCTTCTCAGTCAGGGGCTACGATAGTGAGCGTTTGGATTTTGTTTCTGATTTTTTTGGGCTTCTCATTTGTGTGCAGCCCCTGAATGATTTTTCTGTAGGTCAGTGGCCTCTGACCCAAAATGGATTGGTTCCCGAACCCTGTCCTAGAGCCAGGCCTATCACATAAGGAAGAGATGCCCAGGGAACCAGAGTCACTGTGAGGAATCACAGACACGCCACCTGCCCTGGACCGGTGGCTTGGAGGCCCGAGAAAAGCTGCAAGCCATGTCACTGGCCCCATAACATATAACCCAGGAACTGGGGAGAGTCTGGGTCTCCCCACAGCTGCCTGGATTCCATGGCTAGCTCTTGCCACAGCCCAGCTCAAGGCTGGCCAGGGGGCAGAGCCTCAGAAAAGTGGAGGAGGAGGGGACTGGGCCGAGTGTAAAGGGATGGAGTAGGAGGAGCTTCAGAGGAAAAGGAGGGGTAGAGGGTGCAGCAAGAGTTAAGCCAAGTTGAGCACAGCATGCCGGGTGATGGAGGCCCCTAAGTAAAGGAGTAGGGTGGCCACCATCTTTGTAGACTCTGTCGGGGGTGAGGTGGGGAAGGTCTGTGCTCTTGGAAGCCATGACCCATGGGCATTGCTCCGCCTGGACCCCTGGCGGCTCTAAACTCCACTGATGCTTGGGGAGAACAGGTCGGAGAATCAACCCCCAGTAACTGGCTTCTGGCCATGCCTGCTCTCTGCCGGGTCTGAGGGAGGAAGTAGCAGGAATTTGGTCAATTGCAGGAATAGGAGGAGCCCCGTGGAGCTAGATTTGAATCCTGCCCCTTTCTAGTAATGGAATCCTAAGGTTGGAAGAGACCTCAGGAGGTCTTCGAGTCTAACCACTGCTCAGAGCAGGACCATAGTATGAATATGTATGGTTGTTCTAACGGCTTGTTCATTCCTCGTGTGAGGGAGATGTAGGACACCTCATGCGCCAAGTGATTCGCAAACACCTCATGGTTGCATTCAGCTTTCTGGGGCATAACTCTCTTCCTTGCCATCAGGGCTCTTTAGCCTAGTGTCTCTACCACCAATGGACCAGAAATATCCACTTACCAGCCCTCAATTCCTTTGTTTGTGGATTCTCCACTTGAGATAAATCCAGCAGCAGCAATTTCTGGGATTTTATTGGGAGTCTCACATTATTTCCTGTCATTCTTACAGCCCCAAGTTCTAGGACCAAGACTTTTTGTGGGAATTTCAGCTCTCAGTTTCCTTGAAAAGGATTATGTGAAAAAGTAAGCTACTGAAAAGTTGAAAATCTGAAGTAGGTACATCGTAAAGGCTCAGAAATGAAATGCAAATGGAAGCAAGAGCAATATTAAAATATTTAAAAATCTCATTATTGTAAATGAATCTCATTTTGGGGGGCAGTGTAACAGCTACATTTAGTATTGGGCTTTGGAATACTGCATCCATAGTTTAAAACATCTGAAGAACCACTAACAAAAATCACAAAAATTCATGGCAATTTTTTCCCCAAGTGCATTCAACCAGTAAGAATGTGAATCAATGAGAGGGCCACTGGACAATGAAAATGTGAAAGGAGCCGCAAGGAAGATGAGGCTGTTGCAGACAGGTGAAATGAATTCTTTGCCTTGGTCTTCACTGAAGAGGATGTCAGGGAGAGTCCCACAACTGAGCCTTTCTCACACGGTCCCACAATGACGTGTCAGTAGTGGCTATGATATGGAACCCGCATTCATCACAGTGATGTGATTATGAAATGGTTATGACATAATCTTGATGTGACCATCACAGGATATATCTTGTGAGATATCACTGGAAAAGTTATGATTTGCATAATATGTTTTCTCTATTTGTCTGCATTCATCATTCTTGTACTTGAAATTACGAATATTGACCGTGTCTGTGGCTATGTCTACACTACACTGTTCTTCCAGAAAAAGCTACGCAAATTGCGAACCATAATTTACATAGCTTTTTTCCACATCTTTTTTCCAAAGAGGCTTTTCCAACATTGGGCCTCATCTAAGAGGGAAGGTCCTTTCATGTATTGAGAACTGGTTAAAAGACAGGAAACAAAGGGTAGGAATAAAAGTTATATTTTCAGAATGGAGAGGGGTAACTAGTGGTGTCCCCCAAGGGTGAGTCCTAGGACCAATCCTATTCAACTTATTCATAAATGATCTAGAAAAAGGGGCAAGCAGTGAGGTAGTAAAGTTTGCAGATGATACTAAACTGTTCAAGATAGTCAAGACAGAAGCAGATTGTGAAGAACTTCAAAAAGATCTTACAAGACTAAGTGATTGGGCAACAAAATGGCAAATGAAGTTTAATGTGGATAAGTGTTAAGTAATGCATGTTGGAAAATATAACCTCAACCCCAACTATACGGCTGTGAGGATAGTGTCACCAGGAGGGCTTTGGCTTCCTCGACCATGGAGTGCTATTCCAGGAAGGACTGCTAAGCAGGGATGGCGTCCACCTTTCGAGGAGGGGGAAGACCCGATTTGGACACAGAATGACTAACCTAGTGAGGAGGGCTTTAAACTAGGTTCGACAGGGACAGGTGAGCAAAGCCCACAGGTAAGTGGAGAACATGGAGACCTGGGAGATGGGTCAGAAATGGGAGGGAGCGTGATCTACAATAGCAGAGAGAAAGGAGGGTCAGGGCAAAACTGGGAGGCAAGGTTAAATCAGGATCTTAGATGCCTATATACAAATGCGAGAAGTATGGGAAGTAAGCAGGAAGAACTGGAAGTGCTAATAAATAAGTACAATTATGACATTGTTAGCATCACAGAAACTTGGGATAATACACGTGATTGAAATGTTTGTATAGAAGGGTACAGCTTGTTCAGGAAGGATAGACAGGGAAAAAAGGGAGGAGGTGTTGCCTTATACATTAAAAATGAACACACTTGGAGTGAGGTTGAGGTTGGCATAGGAGATGGAAATGTTGAGAGTCTCTGGGTTAGGCTAAAAGGGATTAAAAACAAAGGTGATGTCATGCTAGGAGTCTACCACAGGCCACCTACCCAGGTGGAAGAAGTGGATGAGGCTTTTTTTAAACAACTAACAAAATCATCCAAACCCCAATATTTCGTGGTGATGGGAGACTTCAACTATCCAGATATATGTTGGGAAAATAACACTGCAGGGCACAGACTATCCAATCACCCAGGTGGAAGAAGTGGATGAGGCTTTTTTTAAACAACTAACAAAATCATCCAAACCCCAATATTTCGTGGTGATGGGGACTTCAACTATCCAGATATTCATTGGAGAAATAACACTGCGGAGCACAGATTATCCAATAAGTTCTTGGACTGCATTGGAGACAACTTTTTATTTCAGAAGGTTGAAAAAGCTACCAGGGAGAAAGCTGTTCTAGATTTGATCCTAACAAATAGGGAGGAACTGGTTGAGAATTTGGAAGTGGAAGGCAGCTTGAGTGAAAGTGATCATGAAATCACAGAGTTCACAATTCTAAGGAAGGGTAGAAGGGAGAACAGCAAAATAGAGACAATGGATTTTGGGAAGGTGGATTTTGGTTAGCTCAGAGAGCTGATAGGTAAGATCCCATGGGAATCGAGACTGAAAGGAAAAACAACTAAGGAGAGTTGGCAGTTTTTCAAAGGGACATTGTTAAGGGCCCAAAAGCAAGCTATTCCGATGTGTTGGAAAGATAGAACATATGGCAAAAGACCACCTTGGCTTAACCACGAGATCTTGAGTGATCTAAAAATAAAAAAGGAGTCATATAAAAAATGGAAAGTAGGACAAATTACAAAGGATGAATATAGGCAAACAGCACAGGAAT